ACTCACCTCCCGCTGGAAGTCCTGGGTGATTATCCTCGACCACTTAACCGCCCATGTTTTTTTGGGGTTATACGGGTTGAACCCCCTATACACATCCCCAAAGCTGCCGCTGCCAATCTACAGGATTACACGGGCTGAACCCTCATACCCCTTTTAAAGCAACCCACCTCCCGCTGAAAGTCTTGGGTGATGATCCTCGAGCGCTTGACTGCCCAAGTCTCGTCGGGGTTATATGGGTTGAACCCCCGATACACGTCTCCAAAGCTGCCGCTGCCAATCCGCCTGTTCTCCGCCCAGCCACATGTAGCCTGCTCCATCTCTGGTAGCGAGTACTCCCGGAATACCTACAAGCAAGGGGAGAAGGGGAAGGAAGGGAGGAGTGGAAGGGAGGGGGTGGAGGGAGGAGGTCGAGGCATGACATGCAAGTAGCTTGCTCCATCTCTGGTAGCGAGTACTCCTGGAATACCTACAAGCAAGGGGAGGGGAGGCGGAAAAGGGGAGAGAAGGGATCCAGGATGGGCCAATCCACCTGTTTTCCGCCCAGCCACATGTAGCCTTCTCCATCTCTGCTAAAGAGTATTCTCGGAATGCCTGTGACAGGGAAGTGAGGTGGGAGCAGGGCAGTGATAAGAATGCGGGGAGAAGGGATGAAACGGCTTAGCCAATCCGCCTGTTCTCCGCCCAGCTACATCTAGCTTGCTCCATCTCTGCCCAAGATGATTCTCTGAACACCTGTCAAGTGGGGGAAAGGAGGAGGACTTTTGAGTCGACTCAAAAGTTGACTTTGAGTCGACTCAAAACTCAAAAGTCAACTCTTTTGAGTCGACTCAAAAGTCAAATCTAGCTTGCTCCATCTCTGCTCAAGATGATTCTCTGAACACCTGTCAAGTGGGGGAAAGGAGGAGGAAGAGGGAAAATGGAGTTAGGGCGTATCCCTGGCTGGTGGCAGGGCCACTGTAGCTGGCAAGGTTGGTGGCAACTTTCCCAAAAACACAGGGGCCCGGAAAATGCGCATGCCACCAACAGTGCCAGCTACAGTTGCCCTGCCACCACCCAGGGATACGCCCTTATACGGGTTGAACCCCCGATACACGCCCCCAAAGCTGCTGCTGCTGATCCGCCTGTTCTCGGCCCAACTGCAAGTAGCCTGCTCCATTGCTGCTAAAGAGTAATCCCTGAATACCTACAAGGCAAGGGAATGTGAGGGGCAGGGTAAGGGGAAGAGGGAGGAAGTGAAAAGAAAAAAGGGGAGGCGGATGGGGTTATACGGGTGGAACCCACGCCACGATGCATGGGTCTCCAGAGCTGCTTTGTTTTAGGCGCCTAAAGAATGGGTTGAATCCCCGATACGCGTGTCCGAAGCTGACAGGTGAGACGTCTCGAAATTTGAACCCCCGATACACGTCTCCGAAGCTGCTGCTGCCAATCCGCCTGTTGTCTACCCAGCTGCAAGTAGCATGCCCCGTCTCTGCTGGTGCTGCACCTGAAAATGCACTTGAAGCACCTGAAACTCGCCTGAAGCCCCTGAAGCACCTGAAAACGCACCTGAAGCTCCTGAAAACGCACCAGAAGCACCTGAAGCACCTGAAAACGCACCTGAAGCACCTGAAAACGCACCTGAAGCACCTGAAAACGCACCTGAAGCAGCGCCTGTTTCGCAACAGACCCGGCCGAGCTGCCCTGACTTGCCTGCCCCGCCACCCTTCCCCCCATGTGCCCTGACCCCATCCCCCCGCCTCCCCCCATGTGCCCTGACCCCATCCCCCCGCCTCCCCCCATTGCGCCCATCCCCCCCGCTGGCTCCGCTCCCCCCATGGCTCCTGCAGACCAAGGAGGGGCGTTCGGACCTGATGCCATCTGCGCTCCTCCCCCCATCATCTGCCCCCCACCGCCCATCTGTCCGCCCCCCATCCCCCCCATTGCGCCCATTCCCCCTGCCATTGCGCCCATGGCTGCTCCCCCCGCCATAGCAGCTCCCCCCATGCCCTGGGGGGGTGGGGGGCCTCCCGGGTAGGGAATCATGGGGGGAGGTGCGCCTGGGGGGAATGGGGGAAGGGGAGGGGGGAAGAGGAAAAGGGGGAAAGGGAGACGAGACGACGGTGACTGTATGCAACATGGCTCAACCATTGCTGACACACAATCACACATCGCCCTCTGAGGAGGCGGGGCAACATATTCTCAACAGCGATGCACACTTGGATAGGGAGGAACGCAATTGTTCTACACACCTCTCAACCGCTCCACACAACTCCCAACCGTTTCCACAACCCTCGCACCATTGATCACATTTTTCAGAAGTGGGGATGGAGGCCGCACAAGTTTCACGGGATAAATCACAATCACACATCGCATTGTGAGGCGGCGGCACACCGTAAGCCCAATAGCAAAGAGCCCCAAACCGTTCCACACACCTCGCAACCGTTCCACAACACTCCCAACCGTCCCGCACACCTCGCACCTTTGTACACAACTGGCAGGGGTGGCGGTGCAGCGCGCACGTGGCGAATCACGGTCTTGCGAGGCTTGCACACTGCGAGCCCGATCGCAATGGCTACCAGCAGCAGCACAATGGCTCCTCCCGCTGCAATCCCGATGATTGCAGGCATGGGGAGGTTAAAACTCGAGGAATCGCTGCTGCCGCCGCTGCTGCCGGAATTTGCGGCGGCGTTGGCGTTAGCAGAGTTGGTGTTGTTGTTGGTGGTGGTGGTGGTGATGGTGGTGTTGCAGTTGCTTCCAGAGCACGTTTGCATGCCTGATGCGAGGAGGGAGGGGGGGAGGTGGGTACGATATAGTTAAGATAAGTTCGATATACTATATGGAACTGCGAATCAGTATCCGCCCCAGATGTTTTCCCGCAATTATTTCGTTACTTCCTCGCAACTTTGGGAGTCACTCTTTCGCAGCTTCCTACTCTTGTCAATCCAACTAGTAGTTGAAAAGCGGATAGATATAAACAAGAGAAAATAAGATGAAGAGACATCATATCCATGATAGTCGAGTCGAACGCGAGAGAGGGAACTGGAAAGCAAAGGAGAGGTGAAAAAAAACATATCCGTCCACTGAATCGAACGCGAATGAAGGTTCCGCACTGCACATATTGAGGTAAACACAATGACGTTTCGAGTCGTCTCAAATTCAAGTTCGGACATTGACTCGAACTTGAACGAGCGTTCCGCACTCCACACAAAAAACTTTTGATTTAATGACAAGAGGGCTCTACAGTGTCTGTGGTCGCAGCGATAAACGTACGACGAGACAGTGTACGAGTCCAACGTTAAAGAGATTGAATTAAGAGGAGAGATTATCTCGGTGCATCTTCGTAAACGTACGAAATCAAGTAGACGTTCTCTACGTAGTAATCGTTAAGAATATATCGATAAAAGATTGTAGTTTGAGGATAACAGAAAGCAGAACAGGAATCATATTTTCCAATGGGTATGAGAACAGGACTAACTCTGGGAGGAAACCGTTGTCGGGTAAAGTAGTATCCACGCCAGCAGTCCGAAAAGAAACATCACGTTGGTCCTTCGTCGAGCCATTTGCTGTTTCCGAGCAAGCGGTTGAAGAAAAAAATAACTACAACAAGTCCCAAAAAATCTTTCCCTAGTAAGCAAACGTTGCGAGTACAGCTGAACAATAAGCTGGGTACCAAAAACTAACTCGCTTCTGGAACGGCGAACAACAAGCATACATGTAGTACTGTGATACTGGAATGAGGTGGACTCAGAAAAAGAAAAGTGATGACAGAACTTATTCAGACGAGTAGCAAATGTAAGAGGGGGGAGGAAAGGAATGGGATGAGAGGGGGGGAAGAAGAGGAAGAAAGGGGGGGCGGTTCGGGAATCGGGAGAAAGGCGGAAATGTATGCCAGCGAGGCAACGCACCGCCTGGTTGGAGGCAAAAAAGCCAATCATAAGGCAGGGACTGGGCATTGACAGCGTTGACTACCACGTGCGTGGGCTTCCCCTTACGTCGGCGCAACCAATGCTTGCATATCTGCGCGGCCTCTACTTAAGAGACGTGCGCGGAAGTCACGACCGAGGAGAAAGGGCTCAACCACGCCTCCCCCGTCTCTCACCTCTCCGCAGTGGCAGCTTCCCGCGCGTAACGCCAAGTCAGCGAAGCGAAAACATAAATCCAGGACCAGTGTTACGGGTGCAATGAATCGAAGTAGCGAGAATTGCACTAAGGTGTCAAACGAGTACAAAATGTGAGCGAAGGCATGAGCGAACATTTATACGCGAAACATGCAAACGGTAACGCGGTGCGTGCGAGCTAGCTAGTGCTACGCTGGAAGCGAGGCTCGGGCTAGTCCCGAAGCGTAGGCCGACACGGCCAGACCAGCAGTGCGAGGTTTGGTGAAACAGTGCGCGCGAAGTCGGCGAGGCCCCGCTAGCAGTAACGGGCGAACAACGGCTGTTGCTGTACGCGATGTAGTCGGGCTCCGTAAGGAATGCCGAGAAAATTCCTTACATCCAGGCACCAGTGATTTCCGATATAGTTTTTCGTATACATACTCGGCATACATTCCACGCACTGTAGTTTCTGTGTACAATTTCTTCCAGTCCTTCCAACATCAACAGACAAAAAATCCTTCTTAAGTCCAAGCACTCTCTGCAAGATGTTAGAAGGGCTTGACTATCTCTATACACAACTGCATTGGAGCATCATATGCTAGATTATTCAAGTCTTGGCGAAACTGTTCATCGATGTGCACGCATACACCACGTCACCCTCTTTACACTCCAAGACGCTCAGGACTGCGCACATTCAAATCCTGCGTTCTCATGCATCTGCAGGCGCTGCAGAAGCTCCATAGGCCTGTACAGAGAGATTGCATCGAACAGAGAAGAACATCCTCAGTGAATCACCAGTGGTGCAGCACAAAGAGGCCAACATGCAATACCGTAGATTACATACCATGTCAACCTAGAGTTAATAAGGCATGCCCTTTTTCCGAAAGGAGAATGTACGCAGTAAAAAGCGAGGTGAGGGAGCACTCACGCAAAGAACTCGCGAGGTCGGCGCATGCGCTGCTGGTTCTCCACCATCACTCGAATCATGTCGGCCGGCTCAGGCCCCCCCACCCCTGCTGCTACCCTTGATGCCGATGGTGCATGGGGCGTCCACAACTGATGGGGGGAGGAGGAGGAACAGAGGCACGGGAATGAATTTGAAGGAGAATTAGGTGGGGATGAAGCGGGATGCAGGGAGAGGGAGGAAAGAGGGACCCAAAGGGAGGGATGCAATCCGGGGAGAAGGATGCGAAGGAGAGGGATGCATGGGGAAAAAGGCCCAGAATCAGCCAATCCAGATGCTGTGGCTGACCTTGATGGTGTCATCGATGCCGCTGGTGGCCACACAACAGTCGACTGGGTGACACTGAATGCAGTTCACCACTGAAATTGGAATTGCGGGGAAGGGGAGGGAAGAGGGAAGCATGGGAAGGGGGGATCATGGGATCAAGTCACGAGTGGGGGGTTGCTCCTAATCAGCAGTCAATCACATGACACTGAAAGGTTCACCACTAGCATTAGGGTGAAGTGGGAGGGGAGAGTGTCCTTGGAGAACGTTTCACAACGGAGCAAATGGATAAAGAGGAGAGCCGGAGTAGGAAGAGTCAGGCAACAAAGGAATAGAGGGGGTCACGCACTGCCATGCACACTCATGCCATACCATGGCGTATCATCCACTCTCAAGCCTGTGAGTCATATCATGTCACCCCATTCATTAACCATGCCCTTCCTCACCCCACCACTCACCATGTTCGTCCCCTGTATGTATCCTCACCACCCTGACAGTCCGCGTTTTCCACTCAAACACTCGCCCATTCCCACATGCCCTGCCACGCATGTCAAACACCAACTGCCATGTGCTGCCATGCCGTACATCACGCCCTATCCTCATCCTCTCTCACCATGTCTCACCCCACCATTCAACATGCTCGCCCCACTCACCATGCTTGCCCCACTCACCATGCTTGCCCCACTCACCATGCTCGTCCCACTCACCATGCTCGTCCCACTCACCATGCTCGTCCCACTCACCATGCTCGTCCCACTCACCATGCTCGTCCCACTCACCATGCTCGTCCCACTCACCATCCCACTCACCATGCTCGTCCCACTCACCATGCTCGTCCCACTCACCATGCTCGTCCCACTCACCATGCTCGTCCCACTCACCATACTCATCCCACTCACCATGCTCGTCCCACTCACCATGCTCGTCCCACTCACCATGCTCGTCCCACTCACCTCGTCCCACTCACCATGCTCGTCCCACTCACCATGCTCGTCCCACTCACCATGCTCGTCCCACTCACCATGCTCGTCCCACTCACCATGCTCGTCCCACTCACCATGCTCGTCCCACTCACCATGTTCGTCCCACTCACCATGCTCGTCCCACTCACCATGCTCGTCCCACTCACCATGCTCGTCCCACTCACCATGTTCGTCCCACTCACCATGTTCGTCCCACTCACCATGTTCGTCCCACTCACCATGTTCGTCCCACTCACCATGTTCGTCCCACTCACCATGTTCGTCCCACTCACCATGCTCGTCCCACTCACCATGCTCGTCCCCTGCCAGCATCTTCACCACTCTGCCAGTGCGCTTCTCCCACACAAACCACCGCCCATCATCGCTCCCACTCGACACAAACTCCCCCCGGTCGCCCAGAAAAGACGCCTGCTTGATATCCGTCCCCGTGTTGCAGTGCCCCACAAAGCGCTGCCGCATATCCACCGCCCTCATCCCCCTTTTCACCTCTTCCTCCTCGCCTTCCTCACCCTCCTCCCCCTCCTCGTCCTCCTCTTCTCCCTCCTCCCGCGCGCCCACACTCCCGCCCCCCATTCTCCTCGTCTCTCCACCCGCCCCTCGCGCACTCTTCTCCCGTCGCACTCCCTCCTCCTCTCGGTCCTCCTCCCCTTCTCTGCTCCTCCTCAGTCTAAGATTCAGACTCACCCTCCTTGCTCCCCCACTCGCTTCTCCTCCTCCTCCCGCTCCTCCCGCTCCTCCCACTGCTCCCGCTCCTCCTCCCACGAGTTCATTCCCCCTGTCTGCTTCTCTCTCCTCTGCTTCTACGCCAGCACCCAGTCTCACGTCCACACGAACCTCAAAATCCTCTTCCTCTTCCTCCTCCTCCGCCTCCCCTTCATCCGCCTCGTTCTCCTCTGCACCCTCCTCCCCACCCTCTTCCTTTACTCCCTCCTCTGCCAATTTCACCTCCTCTTCCCTCCTCGCCTCACTGCCCTCCACTCTATCACCCTCTCCCCTATCCCCTGCTCCCCGTGCCCCCAATGCCCCTGCCTCCTGTCCCTCTGCCCCCACGCCTTCTCTCCTCACTCCCTCTGGCCCCACTCGCTCTTCTTCCTCCACTGTTGCTGGTGCCTCTCCGGTCGAAGCCAAGCCTTCATTCTCGCCAAGTAAGTGCCCCCGTCGCCGCGAGCGCGACCTAAGTAAGTCACTTAGCGAGCGAATGCTGATGCGCCTGTGTGGGTTGCTGTGGCCGCTACCACTGCCACCAGCAGCAGCAGCAGCACCACTTGTAACACCACTACCAGCAGCAGCAGTAGCACCTGTAGCAGCAGCACCACCGGTAGCAGCAGCAGCACCACGACTGGGGTCCCCAGAACCACCCAAAGCGCTATCAGCACGAGCATCACCAGCTGCTGCAGCAGTGCCTGCAGCAGCTCCCATCCCTCTGCCTGTTCCCACAGCGTCTGTGTCTTCCCCTTCTTCCCTCCCTGCTTCAGTTGCTGCACCTGCCCCTGCCACAGACTCTATACCTGAACCAGGGGCAGTAGTAACAGGCTCAGCAGCTGTAGCAGCAGAGGGACTGCCTCCGCTGCTGCTGGTGCCGCTGCTGCTGCTGCTGCTCCCAGCCCAACCCCCTCCCCCCGTGTGCGGCTGCCCCCATGCGCTCAGGCAATTCTGCCTCCCCTCCTCTGCAGGGGAAGCGGAAGGGGAAAGGACAGGGAAGAGGGGAGGGGGAATGGTGAATGGGGAAGGGGGGATGGGGAAGAGATGCAGGGCAAGAAAAGTTCAGTATTGGAGACGGGATTTAATCGTCTGTGTGAGGTAAGGTGAGGTGAGGTTAAGCGAGGTGGGGTGGGGTGAGAGCCTTTCATTACCTGCAGCTGCCATCTTGGCTCGTAGAGACATGACATAGGAAGACAGGTTGCTGTCAAACATGGCTGCTCGCTCTGCAAACTAGTTCTGAGTCGACCCAACCCCATCCCCCACCCCTTTCCCTCACCTGCAGCAGCCATCTTGGCTCGCAGAGACACCACGTAGGAGGAGAGGTTGCTGTCAAACATGGCTGCTCGCTCTGCAAACTCCACCGCCTCCTGATGCTGGCCCAGCTGCAGGGATGAATGCGCACACGGGAAGGGGGAAGGGTTGGGGGTTGGGGGTTGATTGAACACAAGGGAGGGGGAGTTGTTTTGAGACGTGTTAAAACTCTGCAAACTCACCGCCCCGCCTCCTGATGCTGGCCCAGCTGCAGGGATGAACGAACACCAGGGAGGGAGAAGGTGGTCGGGGAAAGGTGAGAGCCTAACAAATGTCTGGATGTCTCACGAAAGAGTTCCAAAGCAGCAGACCTCAATGTAAGGCCTCCGCTGCCCACCTGTCCGCTATTGACAGCCGGACTGAATGTTCTGCAGCGGCTGACAGCTGGTGAAAGGGGGAAGGCAGGAACACCAGTCAATGCAAGTCAATGCAGGTCAACTCAGGTCAAAGAAAGTCAACAAGGGTCAACGAAGGCAAGCCCACCTGGGAGAGGCCATGCCGCCATGGGACGCTGGAGACTAAGGCAGAGAAGAGAGCCAGATGGACTGGGATGGCCAGCTCAGTGCCAAAGCAGAACTGTGCGTGTATTAAGTAGGTACTACGAAGTGTTAGAATGCAATATTGTACAATGTTGTACAATGCAAAGTCAATGGAGGTCAACGGAGGTCAACAGAGGTCAACGGATCCACGGAGGTCAACAGGGGTCAACGGGGGGTCAACCTACCTGGGAGAAGGCATGGGCCATGTAGAGATGAGCGCGGATGGACGTGGGAAGGATCCGCCTGGCTTCGTTACAGTCACGCAACACCATCAGATCGTCATTCTTCCATCCCCTCTGTAAGATCACAGAACAGATTGTAAGGGCGAGAATCATTTCATAGAATCAAACAGCTCTCCTTACAGCAACGGTGAGTATCTTTGAGCCAACATAAATAATGGTGGATGATAGTTTAAATCAGCAAAAACAAACTTAGCATGACGACTCACCTCCAGCATTGCAGCAGCTCTGGTGCACAGAGCATCGTGCTGCACACCTGGACCAATCACATCCCCCCCCTCCTCCAACACCACACTGCACAGGTTTATCGCCTGGCTGGCCCTTTGCCCCTACACCAAACTCAGCAACGGAAACCCATAACGACTCACCTCCAGCATTGCAGCGGCCCTGGTGCAGAGCGCATCGTGCCCTACCCCAACCCACTGACATCCATCATTTGACCCAACTCAACAATACACTAGCCTAAGGACTCGAAGTTTTTTGAGAATTCTCAAAAAACATACACTGCCGAAGGACTGACCAACACTCATCACGTCACGAGCAAGCTGGGCATAAAGACTCACCTCCACCATCGCTGCAGCTCTGGTGTAGAGCGCATCATGCCTCACCCCCGGCCTGATCACATCCCCCCCCTCCTCCAGCACCGCACTGCACAGGTCCATCGCCAGACTGGTCCTTTGCCCTTTGCCTTGAACCAATTTCAACGATAGTCACCCATAAGTACTCACCTCCAGCATTGCAGCAGCTCTGGTGCAGAGCGCATCGTGCCGCACCCCCGGCCCAATCACATCCCCCCCCTCCTCCAGCACTGCACTGCACAAGTCTGTCGCCAGGCTGGCCCGCCGCCCAGACGCCACCTGCTGAGCCTGCGTGCTCTCCCTTGACGCCCTCCTGCCGGCCCCACCTGACGCTGCACCTGAGGCGGCACCTGGGGCGGCACCTGAGGCAGGTCCTGATGCCCCTCCCGCCCCCTCTCCCCTCTCGCCTGCCGGCCTGCCTGCTTCTGACTCGGATTCTAGGCCGAGAACTATCGCAGAAGCTTCCTCCAGCAGCTGCTCGCATTCTTGCAGCTGGAAAAGGGAAGGAAAAGAAGGAGGGGAAAGCAGGAGGAAAGTCACAAGACAAAGACAGAACGGGAACCAGGAAAAGACGACAAGAGAAGGAAGGCAAGGGGGGGAGACAGAAGGCGCTTATAAGCCAACAGGGAGAAGCGGGGAAGAGGAATAAAAGCAGGAGACGAGGAAGCAAAGCAGGAGAACAGGGAGGCAAACGACTGCGCGGGGTGGAAGTAGCAGGGAGCCAGGGTGGAGGTGAGGGGTTGTGGGTGAGGGGTTGTGGGTGAGGGGTTGTGGGTGAGGGGCTGTGGGTGAGGGGCGGGGGTGGGGTTTGGGGCTGGGGTGGGTGGGGAGTTGGGGGGAATGAGCAAGCAGGGTGAGGGAAAGAAGCTAAGGAGTCCACCCCACTAACCTTGGTATAATCCCGGTCCCTTGGTCCCAAGCCTGGGCCCACGGCTCGGTCCCGAACCACTCCTGCCCGAGGCAATTCAGTCCGTCCATTGGTGTACCTATCCCACACGCTGCTGCTGCTGGCGCTGCCGAACCTGTCGCTCTGCTTCGGAAGAGCGCCGTTCTTATCTTTCTCCCCAAAGCTAGCAGGCTGTGCGGGCTTAGCTGCAACGGGCTTAGGACCGTGGGGTTTCAAGTGAGGAGAGGAGGGCTTATGCTTGCTGTTGCTGCAAATAATGTGTTCTTGTTCTTGCTGCTGCTGGTTGTGGTTGCCTGATTGGCAAAACCCGTTAGTGCGGCCGTTGCTGACAGTGGTGGTGGTGGTGGTGGTGGTGGTGGGGCCGGCGGTGTGATTGTAATGAATGTCCGAGGGTTTGAGCGGAGCCAGCCTGTGAGACGCCGCCACGTCAGCAGGAGTGTAAATCATAGATGGCAGGGTTGCTGAGAAAGAAGAAGACAGGCAGAGGGGACATGGAGGAGGGGGGAGGGGGAAGAGAGGAGAGCGGAAAATGCAGAATGTTTCCAAGGCGGTTCATAAGTAGCATGTGAGAAGCTGCAACGTCAGCAGGAATGCGAGCATAGATGGCTCGCATCCCTGCTGCAGGTTCTCCTCTTTTTCGCACAGCAACGTCAGCAGGAATGCGAGCATAGATGGCAACCATCTTGCCCTCGTCACACAGCAGGTTGCTGTGTGAAAAAGAGGCAGCGAGAGCAAGATGAGGGAAAGAGGGAAGAGGAGGGGAGAGGGTAGGGAGGAGGGTAGGGGGAACAGGAGGGGGACAAAGGGAGAAAAAACAAGAAGGAAGTAGAAAAGGCGGAAAATACACCCCACCTGCCTACCTGCTCCTCTCCTCCCTCCTCTCATCTCTCACCTCCCACCCATCACCCCTCTCATCCCTCCTCTCTCCAGGTCAACGCAGTCAACAGGGGGTGCTCTGCCCACCTCGATCCAGGTCAAACAGGTACACGTGCTCGCCACTGTAGCTCAGCAACGCCTCCTCCCCATAGGCTGAGAAGGCCACGTGGGTCAGGTGCAGGCCTGAGCGCCCTTGCTGCGGCAGGGAGGGAGGGTTTCGGGGGGATTGGGGGATTGGAAAGGAATGAGGGAGGAGGGTTGGGGGAGTGAAAGAAGAAGGGTTTTGAGACGTCTCAAAACCCTTCTTCAAACTTCGGGGGGATTCGGGGATTGGAATGGAATGAGGGAGGACGGTGGGGGGAGTGAAAGGGACAGGAGAGGAGGGGTCAGGGAGATTTATAAGAGGGGTGGTTGAAGAGTGGTAAGTTGGAAGGTTTTGCGAGTTGAGGGGGTGGGAACACGAAACGAAGGGGAGACACGGAAAGAAAGTACAAAAAGATGCGGAATTGCCAGGAAGATTAGGTCCTATATGGGAAACGACACTCTGAGGAAGAGCAGGAGCAGGTAGTTGGGAGGGGAGGAAGGGGGAAGAGAGGGGGGGGGGAGGGAAGGGGGGTCCAACTCAGCACACACTTACAACAAGTGCTTTCACAACATAACAATTCAAAGAGGTGGTGAGAGGCGGGCAGGAGTAGAGAGGGGTGCTGAGAGGTGAGCTGAGGGGTACTGCATGGTGGTGAGGGGTGCTGAAACGGACTGACGGGACATACCGGTTCAGAAAGGTGACTGGGGGCGAGCAGGAGCAGAGGGGGCGGGGGCTTGGGGCGAGGAGAGGCGCGCGAGAGGGAGGAGGGTGACGGGAGCATTCGACGGTCGTAGATGCGAGCAAAGGCGTCACTGGAAGGGGCGAGGGGAGGAGGAAAGAGCACAGGGGTAAGGAGAGGGGCGAGTGTGGGGACGGACGGACTATGGCAGAGGCAAGCAGATGCACCAATTACAGGGAGGGGGGACTGACCTTCCTCCCACCATCAGCAGGTGTGGTCACATGTATGAAGTAGTGTTTTGAGACGTCTCAAAACGGACGGAGCAAACTCACCTTCCTCCCACCATCAGCAGGTGTGGTCACATGTATGAAGTAGTGTTTTGAGACGTCTCAAAACGGACGGAGCAAACTCACCTTCCTCCCACCATCAGCAGGTGTGGTCACATGTATGAAGTAGTGTTTTGAGACGTCTCAAAACGGACGGAGCAAACTCACCTTCCTCCCACCATCAGCAGGTGTGGTCACATGTATGAAGTAGTGTTTTGAGACGTCTCAAAACGGACGGAGCAAACTCACCTTCCTCCCACCATCAGCAGGTGTGGCCGGGTCGGGCTGATGGCACAAGACTTGAGAGCCAATGAATCGCGAGCAGGATCCTCGAGCGAAACTTTTCCAGCTGCCCGAAGGTCAAGCTGCAAGGGAGAAGACATGAGCGTGTAAATGGTAGGGGTGTAAATGGCAGGGTGTGGATTGCAGGGGTGTGTGGGTGCCTCTCCAAGTGCGGAGAATATAGGCAGGAAAGCACCTGTGAGGAAGGGAATGAGAGAGACGACATGGCCCACTGGCCCATAGGCATACCAGCACAGCGTGACATCAATAAGTGCGAGAGGCACCGCAGAAGAGAGAGAGGTGGCGAGGGGAGTGCGGGGCTTGAGTGGTGGGCGGCAGGACTAGGGCAGTTGCACTCAAGCCCTATTTTCTGCCACCCATGTGGCATATCAGACACATTGGTCAGAAATAGGGGTCACACTGGTCAGAAGGAGGGGGGAATGGTTTGGCTGGCATACCAGCACACTGCGGCATTCTGAGGCGCCGTGAAAGAGGGAGTGGTGGAGAGGCGAGTGCGGGCGCGCGTGTGTGGTGGGCGGAGGACAGACAGACGTCTCCCTCAGGTCGTGCTGGCGCAGTGTGGCGTCCTCACTTGCACTCCACACCACATGCGGATTGCCCTCCTCCACCTGCTCGTTACAGGCACACAGAGAGAGGTGCAAGCACACACACATGCAGGAGCGACAGGGGCGGACAGGGGCGGACAGGGGCGGAGAGAGGAAGAGATGAGGGTGTGAGGTAATGAAGGAGGGCAGACAGACGCCTCTCTCAGGTTGTGCTGGCGCAGTGTGGCATCCTCACTCGCACCCCACCTGCTCGTTACAGGCACACAGAGAGGTGCAAGCACGCACACACGATGCCAGCAGGAGCAGCCAAAGGAGGAGGTGATGGTACAGCCGAAAAGCTGCTTCTTTCAGGTTATGAGGTTATGTTGCTGCGTTCTTGCGTTGCTGTGACAAACACGATCGTGGCCCATGGATCGTGGCCCATGGATTGTGGCCCATGGATTGTGGCACCTACGTTGGAGTCTCTTCACAAATTCCTAAAAAGCGACTTCAATCTCATCTCACACTCACCGCAAGCTTCTTGACCCGTCGGTTGTGGCACCGGAACATTGCTGCCTGCTCTGATGAATGGGACGGACCGCCGGATGCAGACAAATCTTGCCGACCGGCACCGGGCGAACCAGTTGCAGAGGGGGAGGATGACGTGGTAGGGGCAGGAGCAGTGGAGCGTGAGAGCCTGTGCACTCGCACCTGATTGGGTTAGGGAGAAGGGGGAGGCAAGGGAAGAAGGAGGTGAGAGAAATAAATGCGAGATTTGTGCAGAGGGTAGGAGTGATGAATCTAAAGAGTAGGTGCACGCCTGATGGGAGGAGCAAAAGCTCAGAAACGCCTGGCTTAAACGCCCCTTCCAGAGAAGTATGTCGAGATGGGCGAGTTGGTCTAAGGTGCTGGATTAAAATTCCCATCCATGTCGAGATGGCCGAGTTGGTCTAAGGCGCTGGATTAAGGTTCCAGTCCGAAAGGGCGTGGGTTCAAATCCCACTCTCGACATTTTCTTCCTGTCGGTTGTGCTGCACAATGACTTGCTGCTTTTGAGCATAGCACGCCCTGTTAGGCTGGGTGGTGATTGACCCTGGGCTTGATAGCATGTCTACAAGAGGCAGGGCTTTTTCTCATCCCCTCCTACCTTCTGTCTGTCCCACCTGTCCCCCTCCCAACCCCTCTCCCACCTTGCAGCACGAGGGATGGCATTTCCTCATTTTCTACCAGGTGGGCATCCCCCCACACGCCTTCACTCTCTCCAGCCCAGCCTGGACTCGGGCACAGAAGTCGTTGCCCAGCTGGGTCAACCGCGCACTTAGCCCAGCCCAGTGCCCTACTCCCCACACCATTTCTCTCCCCCCACCCCCACCCCCACCCTCTCACCTCGTTGTCCCCAGCGCCAGAGGCTAATACATCATCCCCCGTCTCAGGCATGAAGCGCACACAGAAAATGTTGCCCGAGTGGCCCGAGTCCACTGAATGCACCAGCCGCCGCGAGCTGTAGTCCCACACGTTCACCTGCAGAAGGGGGAGGGCGGGAGGAGAAAGGGAGGGATAGGGGGGAATGGGGGGTTTGGTAAGACAGTGGGGAAAAGAGCGCACACAGAGGATGTTGCCCGAGTTGCCTCAGTCCACTGAATGCAATAACCTCCGTGAGTTGTAGTCCCACATGTTCACCTGCGGAGTGGAAAAAGGGGGAGGAGAACGAGGGGACATAGAAAGTTCAAGGAACACTATACTTACCTCTCGTACATGCATACGAGCGGTGGAGGAAGGGGGTAGTGTGGGGGGGAGAGGGAGGAAGAGCTTAGGAGGGGCAGTCAAGAGGATGATGTATGAAGAACACGTGGCTCCTTCACTGAATGACAGTCGCATTCCAGTGGATGCTGCCTACAAGCCAAGCCAGTGCGCTGAACCGTATTTATAGCAGCTGAACATGATAACACAGAAAAAAGACACCAACGACGTGAATGCATTACTGATTGTGGAATACTGCATGATCGGCTGTAATCCATCAGTCCACAAAGTGACACAGGACGGAAGCAGCTTTACTAACAAATTCACCAAAAAAATCGTCAAACTCCCCCACAAACCACCCCCCACCCCCCTCCCCCTTCTCCCCCACCCACCAAAAGGAAACTTTGGGGATTAAAGCTTTTCTTACCATAAAATCGTCAGAACCGGAGAGAAGGAGAGAGCCGGATCGATTCCATGCTATGGCGTTCACACAACCCCGATGACCCTGAGGAAGCAGATTCGGGTTTGAGCTCAGGTTCAGGGAGTGTGATGTGATACATACAGGAACATTGACATCCACGCTCTCTATGAAAACAGTAAGCTTAAAAAAAAGAACCCAAGGGCTTGCTTAGTCTAACGCAACAGCGCAGAACAAACCGAACGGCTCGAAATTCGCAAGCCACCACAAGCCAACACAATCCACCACCGACCTCCATGACGGTTTCCAATGCGAGGCGTGACACTAACGAAGGGTGGAACTGCATCCGGCGCGCGAAATCATGCTCGCAGTAAGGGGGAGGCACCTAAAATAGACACGCGGGCAGTCGCACAGGTAGGAATGCCAAGGGAACCATTAAAATCATAAGCAGCTAATACTTTCGGAGCACGAGATCATGCTTAGAGTAAGGATGAGAAACCTGAAACAACCACGCGTGTAAGGATGCCAAGGGAAACAGAAGGATATTATTTTTCTAACTTTCACGGAAATACTGGAGTTGCTTTGAAAACTCTTAACGAGTATGAAGCGACTCGATATACGCTAAGCGTCAAACAAACTACTCTCGAAGTCGTTCCCACACCTCGCGCGAGTCGAGACGGTGTCCCTCGAGCAGGCCGAAAATGTTCCGGTCCATCCGACGGATGTGATGCTCCCTCTCCGTCGCCATCTCCCCAAACCCGATTGTAGCCGTACGTTTTCTAGGTAGCTAAGGTGTTACGAGCTATCCTGCTCGACCACGATAGCTAGAATGAACTGTGACTTTCTACTACATCTAACCGCTTGAAATACGCCCCCGACAGCCAAATAACAACCTGAACTGTCAGGCAGAGAAAAACTACAGCCTGAATTTTTCTCTTCATTCACAGCTACGCTGCTAAGGGCTAGAGAGTGATAAATCCTAACCACAGACCGTGTTCGGCGCTGCTACTCCCGAAAATTTCTTCGTAAGCGAGCATACCCCGGGCGCAGGGTCTAGCCACGTCAGGCTAGCAGCTAGCTTCTAATTTCTCTAGGACCTTCGACTTCCTGAATGTGAGAGCTAGAGGTGAAAGCTGAATGTGAAGCCCCAGCGGTATTGTCGGAAGGAAATTTTGGTCTGAACGGGACGGATGTCCGCTGGCACCTTCCTGAACGACGCCTCAAAACACCCATAATTTTCAATGGCTGAAAGATAAATCACACCTGACCCTGGATGCATTTCTGGACGTGCGGTGTACAGAATGATTATCTCGACGGAGAGTGAAGAGTACCAGGGTAAATTGTAAACTGAAAGAAGTTCCATTCTTGGAACAGCCATCCGGGTCAGCGTTTCTCAGGGCAAGTACCAAAACGTGTTAATCAGGAACATGGATGCATGCAGGCGTGAGAGGGGAATTCGGTGGCGCTGCTGGTCCACGCTGGGGAAGAAAGGACGGGGTGGATGGTGAAATATGGTACATGGAGAATGTGCATTTGACTACCATAACATCAGAGAATAAAAAGCCGCTCGTAGTGCTCTCTCGTAAGCACGCACGGCCACGACCGAGGCTCTCGCTGAGTTTGCCCGACACCCCCGCCATGGCCGATTTCACGCTCGCCACATTGACGCAGGAGCAGCTTGATCGTCTCGTGCGTCAACTGGAAGATTCGGCGCTCGAAATCGCGACGCTCACGGCGGAACGTGACTCCGCCCGTCAACAATCCACGGTGAACATTCCGGCGACACCACACGCACCGACAAATGCATCTACACAATCAGACGAGCCGATCATCATCTCGTCCGGCACACCAACACAACACGACAGCATGGGACAACGCTCAGGCGCAGCCAGTGATGGTGCCGCCCAGCCGATGCCTGGCATGGGAGGAGGCAGGATCGCACCAAGCCCGCGGGAGCCCCGGGAAGCCCGTCGGCACGTGGAATTTGCGGCAACAAGTGGCGAACAGGCCATTATGGCACCAATGCTGCTCAAGCCGCAACGCCCGCCCTGCTTCGACCTAAGCCAACGCGGAGGTCCGACGGTTCAATCGTGGGTCTTCACGATGAACGTCTTCTTCGACGCAAACTACGTCGAGTCGGACGCCGCGAAGATCCGGTATGCAGTTTCGCTGCTAAGGGGCCCCGCCATGGACTGGTGGCGAGTCATCGTGACATCGCCACGCGCCTACGAGCCACCGTCGCACGAGGAAGGGCCCACGGGTCCAGCTGTCACCTGGAGTTCGTTCTGCGAGACCGCCCAATACAGCACGTGGGATGCGTGGTGCGCAGGGCTACGGGCGCGCTTCGAGCCGATCGCGGCTTCGATTTCGGCGCGTCAGAGATTACGCACTTGGCGCCAGCTCGGGTCGGTTCAAGATTATACAAGCGGTTTTCTCGCACTTTGCGAACAGGTCGGCTACATGCACGAAGCGGAGCGGGTGGACCGTTACATCGGAGGGCTGAAGCCGAATATCTCACACGAAATCATGCTGCGCAGACTCTCTAACTTCAACGAGATTCTCGCGCTCGCCGAGAAAATCGACATTCTACGCCGACCGAGACCGGGGTCCTACTACGGACATCGCCCTCGGGGACCGACCGAGCACGCCACTGTACACGCCGTCGCAACGAATGCAGCTGCCGCACCGTTCAAGGGGCGCTGCTTTGCTTGCAACAGGCCGGGCCATCGCAAGAGCGAATGCCCAGAAGAGCTGAGGCGCCGCGGAGCAGAGCAGGGGAGGGAGTCTCAGAGGCAGGGAAACGCCAGCAGTCAGTAGAAGTTGGGCCAACTACTGACGAGACTGCCTGCTCGCCCAACCGCACCGACCCTCACCGAGTCACAGTACCGATTCACGCCATCGATCGGGCTCGGATGAATAAGGAGGGTACAGCGACGGATTGCCCAGTACTGATCTACGGGAAGATACAAGGAGCAGCAGTGAAGATTATTATTGACGGAGGAGCAAGTCACAGTTTAGTTAATACCGCGACCGCACGGAAACTGCAGTTAACACTTAACCGCTGCTTACCTGAGATAGACGCACGCTTAGTCGACGGCACGCCACTAGCCATACGGGAAAAGGTGGAGCGAGTAAAAATCCGCTGCGGAGGGAACTTCGGGCTTACACAGGAAATGCTCGCCACGACACTGGATGGGCACGACATTTTATCGGGACGTGATTGGCTGCGACGGTATAACCCGCGAATTGACTGGACGACGGGTAGCTGCACCATGCGAAGTAGTGGTAACTGGGTCGTACTACCTCGCTGGCGGTCACCCGAGTCTTCAACGGTCCACGTCAACGCCATCACGATGAAACGGGTTGTTGCCGCGGGAGCTGACGTGTACGCAGTGGATTTAGCACTAGTAGGAGAAGAGGAGCAGCCGAGCGATTTTCAGAAACTGTTGGCAGCGGTACCGCCCGTACTTCAGGATCTGTTGAAACGGTACCCGGGGATTTTTCCAGACGATTTACCGCAAGGACTGCCACCTCAGCGGGCGCATGACCATAGGATCGAGTTAGAACCGGGGGCACAGCCAACTGTACAGCGCCAGTTCAGACTGACACACCCCGAGCTCGACGAACTAAGGAAGCAGTTAGATTATTTGTTAGAGAAGCAGTTTATCCGACCGAGCTCGTCACCGTTCGCCGCACCGATACTGTTCACACCGAAAAAAGACGGAGGATTTCGCATGTGCATTGATTACCGAGCGCTCAACAGAGTAACAGTCAAATCGCGATACCCCATCCCCCGCGGCGACGAACTGATCGACCAGTTGCGAACAGCACGGGTATTTTCGAAAATAGACTTACGGGGGGGTTACCATCAAATTCGGGTCGAACCATCGGACTGCACCAAGACAGCATTTAGGACTAGGTACGGGTCATTCGAGTACACGGTGATGCCTTTCGGGCTGACCAACGCGCCCGCAATATTTCAGATGACCATGAAATAGGCGTTTAGGCCACTTTTAGATAAATGTGTGATAGTTTACCTCGATGACATCCTCGTTTACAGTCGCGACCAGCAGTAACACTTAGTCGATCTCGAAGCAGTGTTTAAAATTTTAGAGGAACATCGGTTACTCACCAAGGGCTCCAAGTGCGAGTTTTTTCGGGATAGGCTAGAATTTTTAGGGCAGGTTATTTCGGAGGCTGGAGTTGAAATCGACCCCAAGAAGCTGGATACCGTAAAAGCGTGGCATCCCCCGACGAACATCACGGAGCTGCAGAGTTTTTTTGGGTTCGTTAATTACGTTCGTCGGTTCGTCCCCGACATGGCACGATTAACAGCCCCGCTAACAGATTTACTACGCAAGGGGGTCGTTTTTACGTGGGGGGAGAAAGAGCATGCTGCCTTCTCTGCCCTGAAACATGTTCTCTATTCACCACCCGTCCTACGCATCGCTGACCCACATCGACCCTTCGAAGTTGTTACAGACGCAAGCGACATCGCCATTGGAGCCGTACTGTTACAAGACTTCGGCAACGGCCTCCAGCCCATCGCCTACGAATCACGAAAACTGCATCCGCCTGAACGAAATTACCCGATACACGACCGCGAAATGCTCGCGATCGTGCATGCATTCAAGGTGTGGCGCTGCTACTTGACCGGCGCAGACGTAACAGTACGGACAGACCATCGATCCCTACAGTACCTCCGTGCACAGCCCCACCT